GAAAGATTTAGAGGAAAATTGAATGTTGTCATAGAATTTCCTCTAGAAAGATTGGATATGAACAATTTGGCAACAGAAAATCTGGTTTCGAAAAAAAAGCAGACAGTAGTTTTGGGTCTGATATCAATGAAAAATATGGCAGAAAATAGATTGAATTGAAAATTGCAATTGACATGCAGCTGACAAGTATTCAGTGTATCTCAGAAAATCAACGTAACTCAAAACTCGTTGATGTTCCAACAAAAAAGTGATACAAATTGATAGTAGTTCGAAGTATCATCATTATTTATCACAATCAATTATGTAACTCGTAACTTTTCACATCGAAGTGACGTTAAACTAATCCCAAATCACTTTTACTCATTCAAATTCAGATTTGCACGTATCTCTGCATATAAACCTACTCAGCTTGGCGTATCTAATTATTTTCCGCCATTAGCAAGATGTTCTAGTTTCACTTTCACGTCCTTGTATAAAAAATATACGGGCACCGTATGTCACTATTCAGGAAAACCATCGCACTCGGTGAAAGATATAGAAATGAGTGAAATAGAATCGAAAGTTATATACGAGGTGTTCAGGAAGTTTGTTAACGAAACTTAATATCGATCGATTCAATATTGTAGAAAATTATTTTTGTCGTGGACTGAAAATAAATGGATGTGCAATCTTTTATTGCACAAAGTCTTAAATAGTGTTATAAGCAAGAGTATTAGAGATTGCGAATACACTCTTGCCGAAATTCTAAGACCAAAACTGGACTCTAGTTTTGATTTGGTATCTTCAGCTTTGATCAGCTATGTGAAAATTGGAGTAATAATAACACATTTTCAATGTCACTATTTTCATTCGGCTCAGAAGGCAGTCGATTTTTGGAATTTCTTTCTGGCGTTTCGCTGACGCGAGTTCATCTCTGATGACTGAGTATTTCGACTGCCTAAAGCATAATCATGTTGATTCAGGTATTTTGGTATTTTAGCACACCAGACCTTCAAACAGCCTTCAAACCAGAAAAAATAGGCACTCTGAAAACCTCAGCCGCGAAACCTTTAAACATCTTGTC